CCCCCCCCCCCCCCCCCCCCAACCCCCCCATGAACGCGTGTGAAAGCATGCATGTGAACGTATGTGAAGTTAAAAAAGGCCTGAAACGCACGGCCCCTTACAGGCGCCGATACCAAAAACATGCACAATACCACAGAAAAACGCTCCTTGCCAATTCAACGCTCTCCCCAGTGGCCCCGCGGACGCACAAAAAGTGCTGTAAATACCACACGGATTTCGCAAACAAGTGCTCAAAATGCCCCGTCTACGCCCGCCCAGCCCACTACATGAACTGATGCCAAAGTCTCGGCAAAGCGCCAATTCCACTGATAGTGCCTCAGAACTAGCACAAAACCTCTGAACACATCACATCTCGAAAAGAGAATTGTACGGTACTCTCTTGTCGCAAGCGAGATCTAACAAAGCTTCGCGCAGCTTGAAATCTTGGGTCCAAGATGCAATGAGCCACGCTTCTCTTTCTCCCTGACCCTCTGATGAAATTGAATCTGCAAGTCCTGACACAAGTGACTGCGGCAACTCACTGATTCAGGAATGCCAGTTTGGTATTTTGCTTGTGCTCAAGCTGCTTCTAACTTGCGTTGCAGCTATGGTGGTAAGGAAGAATGGGTGTCATGCTTCAGTTTGGAGATCAGTGACATCAAAGCTTGACCCACAGCCATGGGATCCTGCATAATGGCCAGATTCTCAGGCGCTACAGCATAGCCTGAGGCAGTGGCAACTGTGAGTTGCTGGGCCCTGAAATCTGGGAATCCAAGGTATGTACCAGCAAGGAAATTCAGTAGTAGACTTCGACATGTATTCTTCAAAACATGTATATACTCCCAAGTTAGCTCATTTGAGCGGCTTCGAAACCCCCACATTAATCAATTGCTTGTGTGCGCAGGCTGTTGTGGATGCACTTGTCAGTGCTTATCAACGCTTGCAACACTCTTGCGACCATGAAGTGTTTGATGCGTTTCTTGCATGGCTGTTGAACTGTTGCGAACAGCGTTAGGAACTACCAGCAGAAGCAAGTCGCACACTTCGGTGGGTTGCTGCTGCGGAAGTAGCAGAAAAGAATCGACAGTTCTCTGTCCAGCTTGCCGCATTACATCGTAAAATATACAATGATACAGAATTATACAATCATATACAATATATACGCATAATTGTTGTAAATTGCCACAAGACACATTAGATACAGCTTGCTGCAACCAGGAGTAAACTAGAATGGTCAGCCCAGTGGCTCGCAACGACGAACAGCGGATCTGACTCCTCAGCGATGTGTTTGCCCGACAGGCCATACAGGCTCATAGGAAATGAGTGAGTTGATAGTTGATTTGTAGGACCAGAAATGTCTGCTACAATTGCTCACTGGCACCGTGCACTTTCGAGCTGTTTTTCCAGCAAGGTGTTGGGAGGCTGCCAGCCCAGATATGAAGCACTTTTCTGAGCAGTAAATATGGAGCTGTGATGAGAAATATCAGTGTGCTGCAACTTGCTAGTTGCGACACATTACAACATTTTACAATCATGTCGTTTGCCATTTCCTATGTGTATATATATATATATCGTACCCCCCCCCAAAAAAAAAAAACAACACGTTAAAAAAGGGGAGGTGGGGGGTACCAACAAATCTGAATCTGCAATGTGCATGTGGCATCTGATCAACATGCTAAATGAGGCTCAAAAAACAAACAATTATCCCCCCCAAAAAGCCCCTAAACATGCTAAAACTTTTGATTTTTGTTGAGCCTGCCAGTGTTTTGTGACTATGGGCTTTTGACATTGTTGTTTTTTTTGAGCCTGCCAAGGGGTTTGAAATCTCTGCTCCATCTGGCCTAGCAAATTCTTCGGCATGTTGACAAGATACAATAATCTACCATTGCTACGTTCATGGTTTCAGCTCATGCACTGCAGTGTTGTACCATCTGAAATCAAGGACAACTCTCACATACAAGCAAGAAATTTGTCTGAAAACGTTGTTTTTTTGGGGGGGCTATATATACATACATGTTACATGCGAAAACAGGCTTCGCTGAAGCTTTACAACGAGTAAACAAATGATTAGCCACTTGTTCGTTTGCCTTGGATGGTAGTGACATGTAGTAGCCGTCCCGCATCTTCGGCGCAGGAATGCCAAGGACGAACATCAACCTGGAAAGGTCATACCATACGGGACACGGACAACTGCTGTTATCTTTCATTCTAATTTGCTAGCAAATGCTAGCAATCTCTTTAACACCCTGACCATCCAGAATCATGGAATTGAGACTTGCTCGTTCAAGTACGAAGCATCACCCAAAAACTATAGCGTAGTAGGCACTTGTAGGCACCGCGTCTCAGTGCTGTCATCGGCACACCAATCCCAATCACTGCAACCCATGAGTCTTCGGTGAGCCGCCACCTTGGAGCCGACTTCAACATCTTCGCTTCACACATTGACTTCAAAACCAACAAGTCTCCGACATAGCTCCTGCCAAGTCCAACTTGCCCAGTCCGACAAGATGGCATCGTCCAATTAATTAGGGTGAGTCAAGGGTCTTGTCATTTAATGGGAGGAGATTGCTCTGTTCAGCGTCTTCTTTCTCTGTGGGTGGGTCCTTCTCATTCGTACACCAACGAACTGGTCATTGACTGGGGCACGTCGGAGCTTGCCAGCCACGTTCCATGGGCTCGAAGTACAGCGGTGCGCCCGCGGGGACGGGGTGCCGGCAGTCGCTCCAGTCGCCCACCGCTAAAAGGTGTGGGCCAAAGAGCTCATCCCTCCTCAGAGAAGGAGGGAGGCCATCGCCATTAAAAAGAACAAGATGAACAAAGAAAAGGAAGAAAGCTCATGAGAATCTACACTACAGTCGTACAGTTGCAACAAGCATCAACTTGAGGCCAGTGGGGTTGACCACGAAAGCTAGAGCAAATCGGGTGCAAAAGTCCGTCACTTTGTTGTCCTGCTTCAAAGAAACAAGGATGCTTAAATATGACGGCCAGCTTATACCCTTATCAATATCGATGCCCTGCTCCAGCGGGGGAGAGGCTGGGGGTTCTAGTGAAAAATCACAGTGTTGGCCTTCTGGCTTGCTAAAGCAAGAACAAGCTTTAGCGACCTTCATGGCTATCGCTAACTTTTGTGACCTGCATGGCGCACGCTCATTGCTCAAAGGTGTACAAAGATGTAAAGAGTGTGGCAGCGTAAGCACAACATATAAATATAGTCACTTCAGATTGTGCAGGTTCTTTGTCGTATTATTGGCTGAAAGCAGGAAGCAGGTCACCGGATATGGTAACATTGAAGCCTTGCTCTTCTTTGGCCTGCATGTTCTCTGCCCTTCAAGAAGGGTTGGACAACTGCAAACACCTTTACAAAGCTTTCTGGGAAACCTAGAAAGTTGCTACAGGTGTGTTTTATACGGCCCCTTGACATGGCCTGATTTTGACTAGCAACCACCATGCCCGAGCAGGAAAATTACTGTATCCCATTCAACCAAATTCAGGTCCAGGTGATCCTAGTGGCATGGCATGTACCAATCGGAAAGGCACCGGCTGTCGCCAAACGGGGGAGACGTTCCCTACTGATTCCCTACCACGTCCATGATCTCTTGCTGCCAGGAGGCACCAGTGGGCGAGATGGCCCATCCTTCACCGAGTACCTGGGTCCAAGCTATAAGTGTCCGTCGCATGGATGTCCCACAGAATACATGCACCAGGAGTCTGGCCCGGCTCAAACCGGGCTAGGATTCTGCGGTTCTAACCTTGAAGTGTTGGTAGATGATGGTAAATGATACATGTCTGCTTAAATGCTAAAACAATGCTTCAAAACAGCAAGACCGGGCTCCCTAAATTCAACAACAATGCCTCCTCCCCTGTAGGATGCATGAAGCAAAGCCTTGTGCATCCATTCCAGAACCGTTCCATCTTCCAATCTCTTGGAGCCAAGGGGCTTCGCCGGGTCAAGGTGTAGCTCTACCAGCGTCATCAAGCCAAACCTGAGCGGCTCGATCGAACTGATCGAACATGCTCCACTGGTCAACATGTTGTGAATATTGAAATCGATTGTGTTTCACAACACGTTGCTGCTATGCTGCTATACACAACATACCTTCAGAAAGCACGCGACCGATGCCAAAATATGCATTGGTTGATGTAGCTACTGTCATACAAAAAGTGTAATACATATATTATGCAGTGCATGCTGCACACAGGGACGTGTACACATATTTAGGTGCAACATGGTGCAACATGTTATCTAATATTCTAATATAATCTAATACAATACATGTGGGATCATGTGCACTGTGGGTGTATATGTGTCTCTGCATCTGCGATGATGATTTCCGCTGTCGAACAGAGAGTGGACCGCTTTAACGGTCAAACGTTTGGCGTTAACTTTAATCCGTGGATTGCCCATGGCAGGGGTGCAACCATTTCGAGCACCTCATCGCTGCCTTTCATGGTGAGATGATACATGAAGAATCATCAAGATATGAATGAAGGACAGCACGTTGAATTAATCAATTGCGGCATTGCAAAATGGCCTTCGCTCTCTAAGCCAAAAGCTTACAATTACAGTATGTGAATCGTTGAATCCGTGCGGCCCTTCGCAGAGCAAGACCAGCGTGTCCTGTGCTGCCCGGGACTTGAAGACGGTCTGATCCTGCACACAACTCAGCTCTTGGCTTTGGCATGATGTCTTCTATACTTGACCAGCTGCAATATGACGTTATAGCTGACGTGATGAGTATGATACGACGTGCCCTTGTCTGCCGCCGGCCTATGCCTCCAAACCAACACACATACACACACACACCACACCTCACCTCTACACGCCTCTCCCTAGAAAAGCCCTACAGGCGGCCAACAAAATCGTCTCCTCGCTTCTGAGATCTTGGGCCTCTCAAAGGCGTGCAAGGGCTTGGAGTTCCCAATTTCTGGAAGTCTTTGGGACTTTTCGGGATCATGACCAGGTATTCACTTCCTATCTCTGTGTCTTCAGGCAGAAGGGTGGCTTATTCCAGGTGCAATCTGTTAAAGAGCACTATGTCCATAAGGACCTGCGGTATTGGCCGACACTCAGTGTGAACTGGTGCTGAAACACGCAAAGTTTCCTGCTTTGGACCCATTGGCTCCAAGCATCTCCAAGCATTTCCTGCTTTTCCCCTGAAAAGCTGATTTGCTCCTAGTAGCGATGCCAGGAGCCCCTATAGGCCCTAGTAGCGTCCTTGCTCCTATATCGCAGCTATGTAGCTGTCAATGAGTTCATGATTTCCCTATGCCGCCGTCTGTGCACGTTGCTTGACCACGCCGGCGTCCGTGCCTGGAAGATTTTTCTTCGAATTACTGCCGGTTTTGCAAGGTCGGGCCAGCACATCGCAGAAGATCCCTCGATTCCCAACGATTTTGCTGGGCCAGACAGGGCACAAATTAAAACCCCTGAGCCTGAGCCAGAGCAATCCGCGAGTATCATCCTCGAAAAGAGGAATTATCTCAAACCCTTCGCCTGATGAGGTAGTCTTGACATCTGCATCCATATTCATGCTTCAAACACTTTAGCTTCTAGCCGCAATCCACTTGTATAATATCTCCCTTCTTTCCCTTTCTCCTTCCTTCCGTCCTTGACCTGCTTTCTTTCTTCCTGCCTTTTGTCCTTTCTTCCTTTCTTCCTTGATTCCCTCCTTGTCTTCTTTCTTTCTGCCTCTCTCTCTCTCTCTATCTCTCTCCCAGCATTCTTGCTCATTCTTGCAGCAAGACTGTTTGCAGTCCAGTTTGCGGGTAACCTCTCCCAACACCTCTCACATCGGATTCAGAAACTCTGCCAGTTCGCAGGCGAAACTTCCCAATCCCTCCTGGCGCATGGCATGGAGCTCATCTATCGGGGCATGCACCGAAGCTGAACAACGGTCCAAGCTGCCAGCCGAAATGAGCAGCTGTGGAAGGCTATTCATGGACCACAGATTGATGACCAACTGCCGAACCTACAAGGAACTCAACTACCAGCCATCAGCTCTCCATGGTTCTAGACTCTGAGCTTCGAGCTTCGATTTCTGGAAGCAGCAGAAAGTGCCCAGGTCCAGCCTGTCACAGACCCGCAGAGTTCCGCACCAGATTCTGGACTTGTCATAAATGACCTGGAGAGCCCTTTTAGCGCTGAAAGTTAGCAAAGCTCTTGTCCATCCCTGTCTTGGCTCTGACACAGTAATGCTGATGCTGATCGGACATTAATGTTCCGGGATGTCTTTGTCACAATAGCCCACGCAAGTGGCCACTAAGTCGCCCGTGAACATGAGGTTGGGCCGGTGTCTTTCCTGAATCTCTGGTCCTGCGTTTGGGAGACAATCTTAATGATTCCACCGCTGTGAAAAATGAAGAATTGCTTCTGTCACAACTGAAAGATGTCCAGTGACAAAGTTGTTCCGATCTAAGGCCAAATCTGATGCATCCGGCTATACCCGTGCATCGTGGTTGCGCCATCCGCTTTCGCCCCAGAGTAGCTTGAGGGACAAGCAATCAATCGCGGCGACACCTGAACCATTCGGTCGAATACCAGCTGCAAGCTGCTTGTCATTGGCACCTGCAAGGGATCATCACCACCCCCTAGCCTCACTAGCCATTTCTCGGCTCAACCAGGCAGCCGAAGCAAGAGGAGGAAATTCTGAGGAATCGGTCTGGCACTATGACACAAACCATGAACCTGATTTCCGGACGTATAATGTGGAAATTGCCAGTTGCACCGTTGCTCGGATTGGGGGGGGTGCGGATTAGATAGAATTGGCACCGCAGTTGTTTTGAACAGCCCAGAGCCCAGGCAGTTGTTGGGAGAAGATGCAACTTTGAACATGAGGGACCCCTTCCAGAGCCCAGGCAGTTGTTGGGAGAAAATGCAACTTTGAACATGAGGGACCCCTTTGCTCTCATTACACGTTTATACAGTTTATACATGTTTATACTTGGTTTCATTCTTCTCCGATTCAAAATTCCTTGTTGTTGGGGTCCTCGATTTCGAGATGATTACATATGACATCATATGATTACCTTTGTTAAAGTCACCTCAAGAACGATTGTCTCATCTACTTCGGGATGTTTCCAGAACTGCAATCAGATTGCAAGGCAGAATCATGGGTTTCCTCCCCTCAGACAAAAGACCACAACTGTAGCCATAGCAATCTCCTCAAAAATAAGACTTAAACTTAGACCCAACGCCTCCATACGCCTCAATTGTTCTCCCACCCCAAGGGCCTCCTGTACTTGCCAGTCGATCAACCATATCAACAACATCAATCCCCTCCGGTCCTCTCCCCCCGTCCATTCAGGGCTCTCACCATGGTTTGCCCGTCCATGGGAAGTGAGGCCAGGACGGTCAAGTCCATGGTGCTCTCAGCCTAGCAAAACACTGGGAGGTTGGAGGCCATCGCTATTAGGTTGGAAGCCATGGCAATTACGTTGGAGGCCATTGCTATTAAGGTTGTTGGAGGCAGTCGCTATTATTGGGTTGGAGGCCATTGCTATTAGATTGGAGGCCATCACAATTAGGTTGAAGGCCATACCTATTAGGTTGGAGGCCATCGCTATTAGGTTGGAGGCCATCGCTATTAGGTTGGAGGCCATCGCTATTTGGTTCGAGGGCATGGCTATTAGGTTGGAGGCCGTCGCTATTAGGTTGGAGGCCAACACTATTAGGTTGGAGACCATTGCTATTAGGTTGGAGGCCATGGCTATTAGGTTGGAGGCCATCGCCTTTAGGTTGGAGGCCTTCGCTAGTAGGTTTGAGGCCATTGCCATTGGTTGGAGACCATCGTTATTAGGTTGGAGGCCATCGCTATTGGGTTGGAGGCCATCGCCTTTAGGTTGGAGGGTTTCGCCCGCTAGTAGGTTGGAGGCCATCGCTATTAGGTTGGAGACCATCACTATTTAGTTGGAGGCCATCGCTATGAGGTTGGAGGCCATCGCCTTTAGGTTGGAGGCGATCGCTATTAGGTTGGAGACCGTCGCAATTAGGTTGGAGGCAATCTCAATTCGGTTGGAGGCCGTCGCTAGTGGGTTTGTGGCCATCACTATCAGGTTGGAGGCCATCGCTAGTACGTTGGAGGCCATCGCTATTAGGTTGGAAGCCGTCGCTATTTGGTTGGAGGCCATCGCTATTAGGTTCGAGGCCTTTGCTATTTAGGTAGGAGGCCAACGCTACTATATAGTTTGGACGCTATGGCTCCTAGGATACTCCAGCCATCGCTATTAGGTTGGAGACCAACGCTATCAGGTTGGAGGCAGTCCCTATTAGGTGGGAGGCCATCGCTATTAGGTTGGAGGCCATCGCAATTAGGTTGGAGGCAATCTCAATTCGGTTGGAGGCCGTCGCTATTGGGTTTGAGGCCATCGCTATCAGGTTGGAGGCCATCGCTAGTAGGTTGGAAGCCGTCGCTATTTGGTTGGAGGCCATCACTATTAAATTAGGTTCGAGGCCTTTGCTATTAGGTAGGAGGCCAACGCTACTAGTTTGGACTCTATGGCTCCTAGGATACTCCAGCCATCGCCATTAGGTTGGAGACCAGCGCTATCAGGTTGGAGGCAGTCCCTATTAGGTGGGAGGCCATCGCTATTAGGTTGGAGGCCATCGCTATTAGGTTGGAGGCATCGCTATTAGGTTGGAGGCCACCGCTATTACCTTGGAGGCTGTACTTTTTGGTTGGAGGCCATCGCTATGAGGTTGGAGGCCATCGCTATTACGTTGGAAGCCACCGGCATTAGGTTGGAGGCCATCGCTATATATGTTGGAGGTCATCCCTGTTGGGTTGGGGCCATCGCTATTAGGTTGGAGGCCATCGCCTTTAGGTTGGAGGCCTTCGCTAGTAGGGTGGAGGCCATCGCTCTTAGGTGGAGGCCTTTGCTAGTAGGTTGGAGACCATTGCAATTAGGTTGGAGGGCATCGTTATTAGGTTGGAGGCCATCGCTATCAGGTTGGAGGCCATTGCTATTAGGTTGGAGGACATCGCTATTACGTTGGAGGCCATGGCTATTAAGTTGGAGGCAAGTACTCTGTCGAACCAGGAAGCCCAGCCAATGCGAGTTTATCTTTGCCCCTTGAACCTTCGAAGCTCTCGCCAAAACATGGCCTTTGAGTCAATAACAGTCCTACAAGGAAGGAATTGGCTGTCATCCTGATCAAGAGGTGGGTTCTGTGCCTGCTTCAAGATGATTCCCTGATTTGCCCCTGGCACTGCACCACCCCTTCTCCACCTGCCTGTGCTCTTGCCACCTGGAAGACTAGAGAATCTCCGGCGCCCATTGCAGGATTCCCAGCAAGGTCTTGGAAACGCTCCACTTCCACCACCAGCCTGGTGCCACAAGTCTCAGAGTGACTCATTATATATATATATATACATATATTGCTGTTATTATTGCTTCAATAAGACACGAGTTTACAGCTGCTGTAAATCGAGTCCAATCGACATGCAATAGACGTCGGTGTAAATTGCCCAGCCAAACACTTGTCGTGTGCTGAAAGTGTCTCGCTCGCAAGCATGGGTCCACAATACAATCAGCACTCTCGTCACTTTTCTTTCAATCTTTGCTGGGTCTGATACGTTGTGTTTCTACAAGACTGTTTCGAGTCTTGAAAGAAAATTGCTGTACATGCTGAAAAAGATCACCTGGATGCGCAATATCAACACAAACAATACCTTGGTTTGAAGGGGCAAGAGAGATGTGGGATGGGAAACACAAAAGCTCATGGTGCCTCAGTATGCCTTGCTGTAAACCTTAGTATGTCTTGCTGTAAGCCTTGCGCATTCAGGCCATCCCTGGTCTTCCCAGCCCTGAGTTCATTGAGCGGATATATAAGGCCGGAAAACCAAGGGCGAACCGGTGCCCATGTCATGTCTACGCGAACCATTTGTCCTTTGACGGCTGCGACTTCGTCTCGTCCTCAATGATCTCAACGACTTTGTTCGAGGCCCTCTGGTCCTGAGAGGTCACCATCCGCATGGGCAAATGGGGAATGAGACCCCTCTTTATCAACAGTTTCAAGGAAACGTTGTACACTTGATGCTTTGATGAGGTACTCATATATGTCATTGCGGGTAGGTCCATGAGGTTTGATCTAGAAAAAAGGCGGATAACGACATGGAAAAACTCTTGTGACTTCTTCTTTCACTGTCAAACAGGCCAGGAAGACACTAACAGGTTGATTAAAATTGCCAAGTCCTTGACTGTCAGATTCTTGGACTACAGCAAGGGGCCTTTTTGTCGGTTACTGAAGCCTTGTGTCTACCCCACAAGTCTTCTTTTTCTATCAACTCCTGCTCTCGGTCCCAATGCCTTGGAGGAAACCTCGATCCTTCGCGGAGGAGTTGACCGCAGCAGGAATCCAAAACCGTAGGACCGTGGCAGTGAACCGCCAGCGTCCTCCTGTTCAACCTCCACACCCAGTCCGAGGATCAAAAATGGCCGCAATGCTCACATCGGCCACCAGGTCTCGGCTGATCTCTCCTTGGCGAAGCGGAGGCTCATAGATTAGGGGTTGGAGGCTGGAGGTGGCCTGTGTCGGTCGATGTCTACATTGAAGCAATTGTATAATTAATATCCATGGGTCACCATGTCGCTAGCCTGTGAAGGAGAATGCGCCATGCCGAAGAAATAGAACTGTGGACAAAAACATCAAGGCTTGTGGGCAAGACAAGCCACCTGGTTTCACAAAGAAATCCACTACACTGAGTGCCAATCCGCTTGTCCTGTGTTCAACGGGCATACAAGACATCGTCATCCAATAGACAGACCACTTCTCAGAAAGGGGATGTCTTTGATGTCTTCCCCGTCTTCCAGTTTGTGGTGTCCAACCAAGCACCTCCAATCAGATGAGCCTCCGCTGTTCAAGGTATCTTCCTTGGACACCACCAAGCCGCCTGCTGGAGCGCTCGCTTTCAAGCCGCCGGGCCTCCCACACCGTCAAGAGGTCAAGGGCATAGAGATTTCAACAAGAACTCTTCTTCGCGTAAGATGTGCAAACAGTATAATAGTAGGAGGAGTAGAAGAAATATGTAAGAGCATCCTCCTCCAGGCTAGCTAGTAATTACAAAAGAGGACATCACTGTCACAACCTTCTCGTGCCGTGACGGGTTCCTGTTTTCGAGGCTTAGAAGTAGTAACATAGTAGGAAGGACAAGGCAAAACCGAAGGCCGCAACTGGCAAAGGCCAAGACCTGCGCTTGTGACGTGGAGTTCCTGCATAAAGATGATTTGTTTGGGGGGTGTTGAAAGGACAAAACCTGAGGCTGAGGCCTTCAAATAGCATTGTTCTATTCGCACGGGGTAGGAATTGATAGGAATTGACCTGGTACCTTCATGTACCTTCCAAGATCAATCAAGTATCATCAATATCAAGTTTACATATTCAATTCATGCTAAAGTAGCCAAATCAGCAATGCTCAAGCCCCGCTGTGACTTTAGGTAGGTGGCTAGGGGCCCTTGACAACAACCAATGTTGTCTTGTAGCCTCAAATAAGTAAGCCAAGTAGGATGCAAAGTGTATTGTATTGAAAGTACACATACAGTGGATTGAGAGTAGATGGCACAATCACCAAAAAGATCCAAAAGGTGGTTTATATGGATCCCCATCTGAAAGACATCTTGAGGTTTGTGCCATTTACTCTGAAACCACTGTAAGTTGTATAGAAGACTGGCGGACTGATTCACGAAACATATTAGCCACCAGCCCTTTGCCAATTACCATGTACATACCCATTCTCTCCCCGACATTCATGGGAAACTCTATACTGAACACCGGAACTTCTTGTGCCACTGCTGAAATTGGGAAACAGGTTGCCCGTGCCCCTTATGTCAAGATTGGTTGAATCTACGGGCGTTCCAAGCCTGAAAAGGCACGTTTTCTTCCAAAGAAAAGCAACTGCAAACGCAAAGCCTTCTGGAGGGGACACCCAAAACTATTGTGCTCTGCAGGGGAAATCAGCCTTTCTGTCTTTGTCCATCACACACTCTGTATGTTGGCTGGCTGCCAGTCTTTGTGTGACCTGTGTACATTATAACTATATGTATATTGCTTGTTACTTATTGTTTTTTAATACAATGCCTTGTGCGAAGGTGCTCTTTGTTCAAACCCTGTCCTGACAATTGTGTAGTCGATACCAGAGGCTCTAAGGTACTTCTCAGCTTCCAACTTCTCATCGAGGACATTCCCTCAGCTGATCGAATAACATCATGTGGGTGTATTTTCGAACACAGGTCTAAGTGTACTCTGAGAGGAAATGGTGAAGTAGAACAGTATAACCCACATGGACGCACAAGAATGGTGTTGCAGGTGGAACAGTGGGTTCTAAAATGAGGAGCCTGTCAGGCTGACAGCTTGCAACTTAATTGGGCATCGCGCAAGATGTTGGTGCTTCTCATCAACAACACAAGGTCGAGATGTTGACGCTTTCCTTGCCTGAAACCTATGTGCTCTCACTTGCGCCAAGACGCCAAAGGCATTGGTGACCTGAAAGCCCGGGCTGTTCTCTTGCCCCCAGCCACGACCATTGGTTAGAATGGATGACCTCACGAGTGGCTGTGGAGTGAGTCACCAAAGCACCAAAGACATTCCAAAGCTTCGGATACAGGACTCTTAGTCATGCTTTACTGCAGCCCGCAGCAGCTGATTGAATTAATGTTGGCATGCAGAAAAATATGTAGAACTCGTCAATTGTACGAAAATTTGGTTATTTGTGCGGGTCAACAGGCCTTCTTTGCCAATGTGTCCGATGCTCATATGACGCACATGTCCTTTCCACCATGATGCGTACATCCAAGTACTCCATGGGGTGGGAAAAGCATTGAACCAAGACGACATGGACCCAACCTCAGCCAACCTCCTGGCTATCAGAATATGCATGCCACGAGTTCAATTGAGATGCCATCTCCAAAACCAATACAATGCTTTGCTGTTCTGTGGGCTCGTCCAATTAGCTTGTGGATGCTTGTATTGGTTGATCAAAGTATATACAGCAAAAAGGCAGGTTCGGATAGTTCTGGAATTCGGTGGCGCTACAAGATGGTAAGAAGGTCAAAGGGAATGAAGCGACCAAGCTTTACCGACCGGCACAATACGGATATGGTCAAACATGGTCAAACCTTTTTGAGGTGTGTGACTGAGGAGCAATGCGTGAAAATGTAACTCTTCTCACCTCTGGTGAAGAAAACCTCTTTGGTGAGCGCTTCCAGCAAAACCTGATTACTCGAAGCCAACAAAGCACGAACAGTGAAAAGGGCCAACTGCAATTCTTTTAAGATCACTGCTTGCTTCTGCTGCAGCATCTCTGGGCTCCCCAATTCGCTCCAAGTGAGATTCTACCTATCTAATCCTATCTACCATCATCTACCCATATAATTAAACACATGTTTTTAAAACCATATGTATACCCTTCCTATCCCTTCCTTCTTCCAGGTGGCACAAGGACGATTTTCTTCACTCCGGACTTCTTCGCAGCGTCCACCAAGGCCTTGGTGCCCAGGTTGTCCACCGCATGGGCCTCTGCGTTCATCGCGAAGGGGTTCCCCGGCACGAAGCCCGTGGCGATGATCAGTGCGTCGACACCGGTCAATGAGCCGGCCAAGGCGTCCACAGAGTCTTTGGCCACATCCAATGACTTCAATTCCTCACCGTTGGCAGTGTTTGATCCTTTGGGTTTATGTAAAAACATCGACTTTGGTTGGATGGTCCGAATCAAACCCATGTTTTATAATGTTTTATAGTGAAGGGAATCAGTTGTCAAATTGTCATTCAAAAACATGTGTGTATATATATATTGTATATATTGGATATATATATATATATATATGTATATTTTTAGTGTGTATTGTATTTATATAAATATATATGAAGTACGGTCAAAATTTATTATGATATTATGTGTGGCTGTTGCATCCTCAGATTGGTGAGTGCGCTATCGTTTTCCAACGTTTTGGAACCTTGGTGACGGGTATCGTTTTTATGTTGTGTGTTTTAAAGAGTCGCCTATTGTTTCCCAGGGTTTGGAGTGTGCCAGCATATGAATGCGACGCTCTTGTGCAATCGTGATCCTCGCAAATTCTGAACTCACTTCATATCCGATTATATAAGACAAACCCAGACAAACCCCACCAGAGACAGCAAAAGCAAATGCATCACAGAGAGTTCTCTGCGTTGACTCGTCTTGTAGTCATGAGTCATCAGTGTGATCATAGCGTGCTAGGTTGGAGGCCATTGCTTCATATTGCTTCTAGGTTGGAGGTCATCGTTGTTCAGTAAGTTATGAGGTTGGAGGCCATGGCTATCTTTGAGTCTGTGAGTACTTGAGTTTTGTTGATCCACCTGGACCTGACAAGAACCACTAGCCGAGGGCCGAGGCTCTACCCCTTTGGTGTCCACCGCCTTCACCTCGTCAATCATTGCCCCTCGGATGGCGATGGAGGACTTGCTGAGCTCACTCTGGGCCTGCACAAACCAGCTTCACCAAACATCAAATGCAACTCAGAGAGATTGATTTTGGAGATTGGCAATTTCTAGAGTTTAGCTCTTGACGTCTCTTGACAATTTGAAGTGTCTGCAAGTCCACCCGAACTCGAGGCCACACGATCTGTTACCTTACCACTAACATCTTTTCCGCAAGCAAGTCTGTAAGAATCACTTCATGCGCTCGAAGCTGTACAAGGCTTTACGGACACCCTTCGTCCAAGCCTTGGAGACATCGCGGACACCGCCCACCACTGAGGTCTGCCCATCCTTGGCTAAGCGCTCCACAATCCGGCGCCCAGTCTGCCCAGTGGCCCCGGCCACCAGCACCTTCTGAGGTGCCTGGGCATTCGCTGGCGAGGCCAAAAGCAAGGCTCCAGTCCAAAGGCTACGGCGAGCCACTGGCACTGGAGGTGCCTTCTCCTCCGGGACGGAGGGGACGAAAGCGAGGGGTGCAAAGCAAAGACCAAGCAGGAGAAAGACGCCACCGCGGGTCCGCGCCATTTGGGCTGTCCCACCCTGCTCCCACCTTCTATCTTTGAGCCAACGCTGAATATGCAGTGCACGTGTATGTTTAACTTCTTTTACCACAATTGGCCAGCCTCCTTTTTGATCCATTCCCACGTTGCAACACCCGTGGTTGCAACACCCGTGAGCAATCAGCATGAGCATGGCACCCTACCGCCAACTCCACAAACCTGCTCTGGCATTGAAGCAACACAGCCACTAACCACTGACCGAGGTTGCATTTGGCTGGCACAGGCGCCTGTACCCGCGGCCGTACTCCAAGAATGGCAAGTGAGCACTTGGAAGAACTGCAGTGGCTCCCCTGTCGCGATAGTCATGTCAAATCAAAAACTGCTTAGAATCGGACCCGGAAGCAACAGCCACACCATAGAGTTGTAGCTGGTCAACCGGCAGTGTTTCTGGCTCTAAAAAGCTACCTGATGAGATACGTCTTGGATGCCTCTTACCTGTTGGATGCCTCATCTCAGCTGGGCAGCACGAAGCATCCCACGATTGAGCATGGGCTGCGGCTATCTACATGTCGTGGGTTCTGATACTTTGGTCTGTATTTGCGTGTACACAGTCTCCAGCGAGGCACTATGGTCATCAATTGATTGGGGAGCAGCTTTCTTGCTCTACTGGCACCGAATCCAACCGGACTTCACGTTCAACAGGCACAATGATATTATAGCAGCAAGAAACTCATAAGTTTAAGTTTGCAGTACGGCGCACTGTCCAACCGAGGCAAGTGGAGAGATCACAAGTTGTGCAACAACTCAGTTCTTGAGTCTTGTGATTACCCCTTTCAACTATCGCAAATCCCAAGAATTCCACCGACGATGGCATGACACGTGCTTTCTGACCTTCTACGTTTCGAGTTATACAGATCAAGAACATACACCAACGACGATCAACCCCAATCTGCTTGACCATTTTCTGAACTGTGGAGGAGACGAATTCCACTAAACCCTGCAGAACCCACCGTTCGAAACTGCAGGAACAAAATCCACACCTGATCTCGATGAGGTCAGCAGCAATGGTGATGCTCTGTGAGGCCGGAAGATAGTTGCAAGCCCAGTGGCAATTCCTTGAAAATGTGTTGGATTGAGGAACTAGAACGACAAACGAGTCGTGGATGCCTTTCCATGAGAGAGGCTTACTTTTAAGGGAGAGGATTTGATCAGCTTGGTCTCAATGACCTGGACAGGCCTGATTAATGCTATGTGTCACAAATAGACCAGAATATCCGTGTCACAAGGCCATGTGGCTACACAACTGCTGCAACCCTTGAGACACCACCTGAATAAATCCATCATCTAAACTTGCCAAACTGCCACCCTTCCCTAAGTGGTCAGTAGATGCAAACAATATTGAAAAAATAAGCAGTGGACGTGCCCATAGTCTGGATTGTCTGGAAGGTTTCACCGATGAAGATGTGGTGTTCCTCTGTGATCAGCACAAGCCGATCAATCAACGAAAAATAGTGAACACACAAAAGCTTGGCCTGCAGCCACACTCAAACCACAGCATGAAACAAACACCTGGTGGTCCATGGTGGACCCTGCACAAGGAGCAGGTGGCAGAACAGGTGGCATTATGTCCAGTCTTGACAACATTCTTGACAAAGGGAAAGGTAAATGACTATACAATAAAACCTGCAACAAAGACCCATATGTCGCTGCAGGTACCCTACAAAGAAGGGAAGACTAACTAACCCAACTTGTCTTCAAAGTTTTCTCAGATCGAGCACGCCGAATTCAGGGTCCAGCCGACATCCGTCAAGTACAATGTGAATTGCAAATTTATCAGGGTCGAAGTCCACGATCATCTGCCCTGGAGGTTTGGGATGCAACTGCGAGAGAAGGCGGAAGGAGGATTGCCTGGATCAACGCCCCCCTCCGAGGTTGCAGAAATGATTGTGCTTGATTCTTCCCGCAACAAAGCCAAGACTCTCTTTCTCACAGGCGCTTCCCGATTCCGCACACCGATTACCACCATCGCTTGGAAGAAGGTGCAGTATTGTTCCTGAGCAGGACAGCGAAACGACTACCAGAGTTTTCCCAATACATTTTTTTCAAAAGCGCATCCTCGACTGTACTCAGTCCCTCAAATCAAGAGCAAGGAGAATGGGGCTGAATGACCACGTGCTGCTTCATCTGCCGTGACCTCTACCGTGTTTTCTTGCAGGCTTTGCTCCCGAATTCAAACTATATAATAACTTCACGGATACATTGATCATATTCTCAAAAGTGGAATTCTGTCTCGCTTGAGCATCGAGTTCTAGCTTCAAGAAAGCCAATCACACCACACCCTGATGACATTTCTCCAGATGTCGAAGGTATGACATATCTCCAGACAATTATGATGACTCACCAAGTCTATAAATAATGTTTGCGTGAAGGAACATGGGCATTGTGATGAAGGCGTTTCAAGATGTTTGAACCTGTGGGTTTCACCCGGCCAAACATCGTCTTGGAGATGGCCCATGCGACTCATGGGAAAAGAACGTCGTGTAGTTACGGTCAGCTGTCGAGACGCCTTTCATGGTGCCAGGCCAAGGTTGTAAAACCTGCAGGTTAAGTCTTGAGACGACGTGGACATGAACTCTCAAGTGTGCTGTGCCACTGTTCCCAGCTGCAAAATACCGGACGTTCCATGTTACCCTGGAGGCCCTTTCGTTTCCAACCAGAAGCCCAGTTTCACCAAGGGCAGGGAGGCTGTACACCCTATACTGGATTCCTAGAAGTTAGGCATTCATAGAAAAGGCCAACAAATGAATGTCTATATTATATATATATGTAACTATAGAACTATATAATACTATATAGATCTATATAGTAATATAGTATAGTATAACCTTGCTGTGAAATATTGTGAAGAATAAGTTATAGTAAATCAGCAAAACACGGGCCAATTGCTTCAAACAGTTGAAGAATGTACAGTAATTAGTGGGGAGGCTCTTCAACCTAAAGAGTGGCTCAAGTCAAAGCACAGAAGCAGCTTCTACCCGTAGCTCTTGAGCTCTTGGCATTTGAAACCCTTCAACGAAAGCTCTCGGCCAGTAACTCCCACCGCCGGCCTCCGAAAAATAGAGCTCCAAACCAGCTCCCGGACGATCTTGGTCAAATGAGGGCACTGGGCCACCGTGTCCTGGGTGGCAATCCTACGGTCATAGTAACCATGGGGTCTTACAAGCAGTGTATGCTGAAGGCTGCAATCATCTTCGGACTAATAAAGCATGGGCTCACCTCAATCGATCTTTGAGGTTTGAGCAAGCACGTGACTGAAAGAAGAGCTTGCAGTCTAAAAGCCCAAGTCAGTGGAGCCTGCTAGGAAACACGTCCAGAAAATGCATTAGGTTCGATCTCATTCCTTACCTTCGTGGTTATAATTGTTATTTTCCAATGGTTTGAACCCCGCAATCCACCCACCCTCACATCTGAGAAGCCATTGATGGTGGCAAGCAGGAGCTGCGGGGGAATCAAGTCCCTACGCAAATCCACTTTGTAGGTGGCCTCCACACCCTCGCACAAATTGCCCACCTTGGAGGACAGTTTAGCAAATCCATCGAATCGTCGATGCTTAGCGGCTCTTCGAAGGTAAACGTTAGATTCATCTAGAATCTAGATTGAGAAGACATGTCCTAACGTTTGGTTGTGGGAAGGCATGACTATTGATCACCCAAACAAGCAATAGCAAAGGCGGGCAAGGAACTGAATCCTCGATGAAGCCTGGTTGCACTGTCAATCTGTATTCAACTCCTGGTGCAAGAACAGCCGGACGAAAATTGGTCCTAACATGAGACCTTTCTGGCCTGTCCTGCATGTTTTGACCGAGTTCTACTCATTCGATATTTACCTCTAGGTGCAGCTTAACAAGCCTGATGGCTCTAGCACATCCAAATGTCACGTGGGTGCCGATGCCCTGAACACAGCAAAGTTATTCGATCCGCAAGGCCCATGGGCGCCAAAGCACGACAAAGTCACAAAAATGAAGCAGCAATCCATTAGAGGAACAAGGACGCTACTAGGGGCTCCTGGCCTTACTACTAGGAGCAAGGACGCTCTACTAGGAGCAAGAAGCTACTAGTAACAAGGACGCTATTGAATGGGTGCAGCTCTGGCTAGATTTGTTTGTTCTGGCCGCTCAAAGCGTCCGTTCCCGGGCACTAAAATTTCTGCAAGATCCATTTGGCTCGGTCTGTCCTGTTGGCCCGTCTTATCATAATTGGTTCGTCTGTTCGATCCTTTTTCCAAGCACGTCTATAAAAGTGGAGCCAATGTTCTCTAGGTTGCCCTTCCTTTGCCTATAGGATAACCTTCCGCTGACTGGGGAACATATGTGACCTGTTGTAGCGGATCCAAATCTGGAGATAAGCATGTGCCCAAACAGTGCAAAACGTCTATATATTTAGAAGAAGATCCAAAAACAGTTTCACATCTCGACCAGCTTGTCCAGAGAAGCCACTCTTAGCGCACATATGCAATTATATTTCTCATTTCACGAATGTTGCTTCCAATCCTGGTATTGATCTTATCCTTCAAGGTTGGAACGCAAAACGTTGCTACTCCAAGTATAGCCTGGGTCAAGTGCACAATTTCCAGTCTATAGATCAGTTTGGATTGAACTACAGCGTGGTAGACACGTAGTTTCCAACCCACAGTGCAGTTTGCAGTTTTCCAAAATGGTTTCAGTTGGCCACATTAGCAAAGTCTGTCAGTAGAATCATATGACCGATTTCCTGCCGTATATTGAGGGATTATGTCTAAGGTAGGTTATCTCGGAATATCTATTCAGCCTAGTCCCATCAGCAAATCTAACTATATACATGTTCCCATTCACAACAATACATGAGCATGTTTCCCTGTCTAAACGCTTTCTGCTGTCCAGAGCACTCTACTATTTGCAGCATTTGTGCTAGTTGACTCATCGCTAAAACAACATATGGCTATGATTTATTGTGTTATTCCCGACCGTTGCTGCTTTGTCGACTATCTTCCAAATTTGTCTTCCACTAAAAAACAGGGTTTGCGCCCTTGCAGGCGCTGTTGAATCAAAATCATATAGAGAGCTTGTAAATGATGTAAAATGAGATCAACAAAGAAACCGGTCTGCAAGAACAGGGTTCGTCTGGATCTCCTTTCTTGTAAATAGGGACTACCCAC